TGAGAATGATGATGGCAACAAATGTACAAATGTGCTTGACACAATGGATGTATGTGTGGATTGTGATAAGAATTGTATGAGCCCCCAATAAACTGATTTAAACAAAAAGCATGTAAAGGCTATGAAACCTAAAGGGGCAGTTGTGCTCTATGCTGTAGGAGTCCGTACAGGGGATTGACTTGGTGGTAGTGAGTTTGTCTCGTTTCCTCATGCAGAGCCACTGGTGGGTTCAAACTGCTGGTCTTTTGTCAGAAGCCCTGTCTTTTAAAGTGTAAAGGGTAGGGATGTGCAACCCTTGCACAAGGTGTCACAGATGGTAAGCGTGCTTAGGAGTGAGGCAGGGATTAGCCTGGCACCCCAAGGTCACCTGGCTCCCAGGCAGGGCTGGAGCAACATAGAGAGAAGGCCCAGCTTTGGTCTTGTTCCTCATGTGGTCTCTAGTTCTGCAGCCTCCCATGCATGGCTGCAGACGTGCCTCTTGGGTCCTGCACTGGTGAGTGAGTGAGTGGTGTGTGTCCCACTTCGTTACTGTCCACTCACTGCTCTGAACCCCATCCCTATGATGTCTGGGATTGTGATGTTTTGGGACAGTGTAAGGAGACCTGCTGGTGCTATACTTGTCTAGGCCAGAAGACGCTGAACTAAGCCTGAACTTGGGTACAAAGTATAGGGCATGTTGTTGGCAACCAGTGGAACAAATTGTGGAGGTTTTATCTAGGGCCCAGGTAGCACTGTGTGTGAATGCTTGGAGTTGAGACCAAGCTGGAAGTGTTCAGGTTGCTGCGTGCTTCTGGTTCTCATAGGGAGAAAGAACAGAAGTCGCTTTGGCTAGCTCTCGGAAGTGAGCCTCCGTTATGGAGGTGATGGGAGCAGTGGGAGTTTTGGAGCGGTGGAGGGTGGTTGTCTGATCCAGGTGTTAGCAGTTTCCCTGTGACTGCAGCCTGGAGACCAGTGTGTGGGTTTGATTTGGGTAACAGACTAGGGAGGAGGCTCCTGTAGAAGTCCAGGTGCATGCTGACGGTGCCAGTGGGAGAAGACATTTGTGGATTCTGTATGTACTTTATCAAATCTATATAAGCCTACTTAGAGTTTCTGATTTTGAAGGTGGGAGTAAGATCGGAATGAGAGATGACTCTAAAAATGTTCTTTACTGTAAATAAGTTTATTTAATTGACAATATATAGGTAGCATGAGAAAGTAAGATCGAAGTAGAAAAATATTATTTTTTAATCAATAACTCCATATGTAAATACTGTTTTATTTTTATTGTGATAAATATATGAGGGAACTTCAAAAGGTTCATGGAACAATGAAATTGAAAGATAATGTGACTTGTCCACAAACTTTTTGAAGTCCCACCTCATAAGTAACATAACATTAGCCATTTCTGTAATCTTCCTAGTTCTTTGACATGAATTATGCTTATCGTGTTGTTCAACCATCACCATTAACCATTTTGGGTTTTTCCCATCTCCCTTAAAAGATGCTTAGTGTGCACTAAGCATTGTGTTTTTCATTTCCCGTCCTGCTACCCTCGATACGCTTGAAGCACTAATAAATCTTGAACTCTAGCCACTTGCCTCTTGTGGCTGTCTCCTGTTAGTGGGATACTATCATAACTCTGAGATTTGGGGTTGTAGCAGCTCAACTGACGGCCAGGAGTTGGTTCCAATTCATAATTGTGGGAAACGAACACTGAGGGAAGTATGACGAGGACTGTATTTCCTAACTTAACATAGAGGGGATCTGGAAAGCTGGTATTCCACGGTAGGAAAGGCTCCACTTCGGTAAGTTAGAGGTAAAGTCCAAGTACATAATCCTGCTATCATTCCCACAGATTCTCCCTTAACAGCTATGTTGCCTTAAAGTGAGCACACGGTTGGTTATATCTCCCTACAGAAGCAGACATGATCCTTTTGCTCTCTCTTCCTGCTGTGACACCCAGCCCCTCTTTTAACTTCCCCCCTAATGCAGGTATGAGGTTCCCTCCCCTGTGAGCTCAGGGACCTAATGTAGATACCACCCACCTCGTGACGCAGGTCACCACTGAAGATGCATGTCTTAAGGCGACCTATAGATGTCCCAAGATAGGAAAGATGCTCTCTCACTTCTCCCAGTTCCACGTGGTCCATCAGGAGGAGCCCAGGTGCTAGACCAGAGGATGTACACTGGTACAGATAGGAACTGGAAACACAGGGGATCCAGGGCGGATGATCCCTGCAGGACCAGTGGTGTGAGTGGCGATACTGGGAGGGTAGAGGGAGAGTAGGTTGGAAAGAGGGAATCGATGACAAGGATCTACATGTGACCTCCTCCCTGGGGGATGGACAACAGAAAAGTGAGCGAAGGGAGACGTTGCACAGGGCAAGATATGACAAAGTAATAATTTATAAATTATCAAGGGCTAAGGGAGTGGGGAGGGAGGGGAAAAATGAGGACCTAATGCCAGGGGCTTAGGTGGAGAGAAAATGTTTTGAGAATGATGAGGGCAATGAATGTACAAATGCGCTTTACACAATTGATGTATGTTGTATGTATGATGTATGATGTATGATAAGAGTTGTATGAGCCCCTAATAAAATGATTAAAAAACTGATAATGGCAACATATGTGCAAATGTGCTTTACATACTGGATGAATATATGGATTATGATAAGAGATGTAAGAGCCCCCAATAAAAATAATTTTTAAAAAAAGAAAGAAAAAAAAAAGAGCCCAGGTGAGCATGCTACCATAAAGCGTGTCTGACTCCTATATTTTGTGCTGTCTCTTATCTATCTTATCCGCTATGACTTTGTGTATTATCACCGTACATTTGTGCCTTCTGGCCCTTCAGCTGTTGGAGGCTAGTTTCCTCTGACACATAGTGACCGTATAGAACAGAATCGAACTGCACCTGTGGGTTTCCGAGACTAATTTTTTACAGGAGTAGAAAACTTGATCTTTTTTCCAGAGTGGCTGGTGGTTTTGAACTGCTGACCTTGTTAGAAGCAGTCCACCGTGTAAGCCACTATACTTCCAGGGGTCCCCTCACTGCCATTGAGGTGATTCCAACTCATAGGGACCCTACAGGCCGACGGAGAGCTGTTCTTGTGGGTTTTGAGAGTGTGAGTAGCACGGGGGCACTGCCATTGAGTGATAATAGGGAAGATTGTATTAAGAGTAATTCTCATTGGGGATTTGAGAGAATTGTTTTGACCCTGTTAAAAATCTGAGATGTATTCTTCGTTAACTACTGTTTTGGGAAAATTGGTTTGTCATGTGCAAAGATATGCATCCCATAAAGCAAATTCAAAATAGATAAAGGTGACATGTGGTGAGGCCACAGGATACCTGTGCTGTGGAGCATAAAAGGAAGGAGGCTATGGAAGTACAGCTGTGAGAGAGAGTGGCACAGCATGGTGTGCCTGTGGAGACAAGTGTGAATTGATGGTTCAGGGCCCTAATATTAAAGACTCCGAGTGACGCTAAGCCCACACACGATTGTATCCGGGAGACATGTTCTTGGAAGCCCAGAGAATTGTCTATTATGAGGCTGTATAACTTTGCATGTCTGGCCCAAAGCTTATCTGCTAATATACCAGTTGGTGGTGGTGGGTGACAACAGCAATCAGTGAGACCAAGGGGGAGAGATGGCATCAGTGGCACCAGGGCCTGGTATCTCCTCTGAGTTGGGAAGGATGGTGAGAAGATGAACATGAAGAGGGATGAACTTGAGGTTCTAAGCGTGAAATGAACTGTTCCTTTCATGGCAGGGCAGTGTTACCTTTGAGGATGTGGCCATTGACTTCTCCCAAGAGGAGTGGGGGTTCCTCGATGAGACGCAGAGACTGCTGTACTGTGATGTGATGTTGGAGAACTTTGCTATCATTGCCTCCCTGGGTAAGACTCCCACATCCACATATGTATCATCCCAATCTCATTTCTGCCGTTCTTCCTGTCCTCAGCAAGATCTTTGTCCTTCCACAGTCAGGCCATTGCACTGGTACCGTCCCACATTCTTGGCATGTATGGGAAACAGACTGGGTTTTGTGCACTCCCAAAGCAGCCCCACTTCTATTGCCCAAACCCTACAGGGAAACATCTGGGAGTCAATAATCTTGCAGCTAACCTAATGGAGCTCCCCTTTCTTGGCTTCTTCCTGGCAGAATGACTGTGTCTGGTTTCATGACACCTTGGCTTAAGTTCTGGCTTCTTTCTCTAGCTTACATGTCCTCTAACTTGCCTGGAGTTGTAGGCATTATCCTGGACCACTACTTACATACACTGAGCTGTTCTTACAATACCATCCTTCAAAAGTTGTTTGTTTTTTGTAATGCTAATTTTCTTTCTGAGCTGGGTTACTGTGGATCTGTGTTGTCTAACTCACCTGTCGTGTGTGTGTGTCTTTGGGGACCTGGGTTATGCAACTGGAACTCAGAGGTGTACTCTTGCTCCTCGGTGTGGTCATGATGTATTTTCTCAGGAGGCTTGTCCCTGTTGAGTGGCAGCTGGAAAGAGTGTTTGTTTATATTGTCTTGAATGAGGTATGATAAGATAAGGTCATATGCAGATCAAGAGACAGAGACCATGAAAGTAGTAAGAGTTTTTATAGTCAACAGTTCCCCAGAGATAATGTGGCATGCTGCACCAGGCCACTCAGAAGGTTGCCCCTGGGGTTGAGATTTTAGGAAGCACTTACATGACACTTACATGTGGCAAGCAGGGCAGAATAAGTTAGATTTTGCAGGTTTTCTGGGGATTGAGCACATTGCATAATTCCACAGTCTGGGACATTCCGGCTGTCCCTGTTCCTTTGGGAACCCAGCCCACAATCACTAGGGTGGGTGCATAGTGGTCCAGGAGTAAGTGAACCCAATAAGGAAGAGAGCATGTAATCCACTGCTCAAGAAGCGGAACTGACCAGCTTTTAACCAGAGCCTCAAAACTGGGTTAAGAGAAGAGAGCCTTTGTGCAATTTTACATGCAGAGGGCATGGTATCAAAGCTGTGTTCAAATCATAATTAGGGACTTGCTCTGTGCCCACCAGCGTTTTGGTGCAAATGCTAATGGCCACTCCTTGTTTTTCCTCCCGTTTTTGACAGTTTCTTGATTTATAATCTCAGCTGTGCATCTGGTCTCCACTCATTTCTCCCCACTGCTCCTTCTGTACTGTTCCCCAACATTAGCCTATGTAGTGTCTTTTGAGATGAGTTACCTATCCTTAGATAATCCTTAAACACCAACTTCCCAGTTCCACTTGTATTTTCCTGGGTGTGAGCATAACTAACTCTTCTCTACAAGGCACACCGTTACCAGTCAAGGTCCTCCTGAAGGTTGTTGGCCTAGAAATTAATTGGAGACCCTGGCTCTCCATCCTGTGCTACGCCCCATCTTATTGTCTTGCTCTCAGAGTCCCAGTACTGCAAAGCAGTCCATTCTTCAACGTGCCTCCAGCTCCCATGTTTTCAGAACAGTTCTGTGGTTTCCACCCTTGGTTGTGTCTTGACATAATTTCATCATGGGCTACCGCCTCAGCAAAATCAGCATACATTTCATCAGCATTTATGTGCTTTCAGGTTCTTGGCGTGGAACAGGGGATGAGGAGGCATCTTCTAAGCAGAGTATTTCTGCAAAAGAAATATCAAAGGTCAAGATTTCAAAGGCAAATTTATCCACTCAGAAGACTCACCCCTGGGAGATGGGTGTCTTATTCTTGAAAGGGATTTTGCAGCTGACTGAACAGACCCACCTTGGACAGGATTCATGCTTTGGTGGGGCTTGTGTGAGATGTTTCTGGATGAGTACAACTCTTCACCAGCACCAGAAGTGTCACAGCGAGGAGAAACTCTTCCAGAAGTATGTGGATGGGGCCTCATTTGTGAAGAGCTGCAGATTCCAAGTGCTAGAGCAACCTTTTCCCTTCCAATACCAGGCCATTCCTAAGAGTGAGAAGAGACTCGGCAGCTTTGAGTATGGGGAGACTTTTCATAGTGGAAGAAATCTTTGCAAGTGGGATAAATACAGGAAATCTTCTGATAACAAATACACACTTGTTCACCACAAGAGCACTTTGACTGGAGAGGAATGTTCTGAGGATAACAAATGTGGAGAAGGTGTAAGCTACAAGTACAGGCTTGTTCAACGCCGGGAAATTCACCTTGAAGAAAGGCCATATGAGTGTGGCGAATGTGGAAAATCCTTTAAATACAAATGTTTGCTTGTTTACCATCAGAGAGTTCATACTGGAGAAAGGCCCTATAAGTGTGAGGAATGTGGGAAATCATTTAGAGATTCCTCATCCTTCATTCAACATCGTAAAATTCACACTGGAGAAAAGCCTTATGAGTGTAGCAAATGTGGGAAATTTTTTACCCAGGGATCAAATCTTAGGAAACACCAGAGAAGTCCCACTGGAGGAAGGCCTTATGAGTGCAAGGAATGTGGGAAATTCTCTAGTTATTGCTCCTACCTTAGTAAGCACAAGATGATTCACACAGGAACAGTGCTGTATCAGTGTTGTAAATGCGGGAAATCCTTCACCCGAGGGTCCAGCCTCCTTCACCACCAGAGAAGTCATGCTACAGCTAGTGAATATGAGTGTGGTGAATGTGGAAAATCCTTTAGATACAAATGTTTACTTATTTACCACCAGAGAGTTCACACTGGAGAAAGGCCTTTTCAATGCGCGGAATGTGAGAAATCGTTTCGTAACCGCTCAGTCCTCACTCAGCATTGGAGAGTTCACACCGGAGAAAAACCTTATCAGTGTGCAGAATGTGAGAAGTCATTCAGCAGTCGCTCAGTCCTCACTCAGCATTGGAGAGTTCACACCGGAGAAAAGCCCTTTCAGTGTGCAGAGTGTAAGAAGTCATTCAGCAGTCGCTCAGTCCTCACTCAGCATTGGAGAGTTCACACCGGAGAAAGGCCTTAAGTGGGCAGGGAATGAGCTTGTTCCTTGAGAGCCTTTGTGAGGCACTGACCTACAGGAATTGACTACCTACCTTCAAACATTTGCAGAGTGGAGATTCTCCATGGGATATGGGCGTGTGGGAAGCCTTCAGAAATGGCAGTACATTTTATAAAGTTCCCAGAACCCTCACCAGATTCTTGTTAAGCCACCAGTACCTCTGGCCTAAAACTCCCGCCTGGATCACCTGAAAAGTACCCACTGTGCATTAGTCCCCAACCTAAAGTGCTCTAGGAGGCAAACTTCTGTGCTTGCTTTTTGCTGGAGGAAACTGCAACATGACCTCTAGGAGGCCCTCACTCCCATCTCTGACAAGGTGAGGCCAGGACCAGACCAAGTTTGGGCCCAGAGAGCCTAATCTGAGTTTTGGCATCTTGCCAAAAAGATTCTTTTTCAGGGACTTCCGTGGGTCTCAGAACAATTACAGGACTTTTTGGCTACAGTTGTGGCTTTAATGCCAGTATGTGTATGTGAACGCTCTCACACATTAACTCGGAGGTCACCTGGAAGGGGACACAGTTGCTTTGGAGAATTACATGAGCTGATGATCACATCAGGTTCAGCACTGTTGGGGCTCAGGGAGACCAAACATGGTATTAATCAGCAGTTGAGACTGAAGCAAATGAGTATACATACCTCTCTTACAAGTGCCTCGACACATTTCAGTGGCTGTGGTTGTGTGGATTCAGTGTATAGAGAACCTCAGGATTCCAGACCTGTATCTGGTGAGGTGAAGAATTCATTTTACCCAATTGATTAAGCTTTTGTCCTTGGATCGTGGGAGGCAATGTCTAAACCATTGGGATAACCTCAGTGGTTGGGGTGTCTTTGTTATTTATGAAAGAATTCAATCTCACTGATAGCCCTGTTAAGGAAGTGACATTGGGGCAGGCTGTGCCAGGAAAAATAGGATGTCAGCCTGGCTGCCAGGGCAGATAGGGAAGCTGCAGATTGAGTTTGATCATGCAGCTGGTGATTCAACCATTTGTGCCTACAAAATGAAACTCCAAGCAGAAATCTGGATGCTGAGCTTCCTTAATTGATAACACATTGGTGTGCCAGGACAGTACAGAAGCTTCGTGTTTGGATCCTCCCAGGCCTTCACTCCATGTACCTCTTGTATGAATATTAATGAACCTGTCAATTAGTATAGTAATTTTCTGTTATCTGTGAGTCGTTCTCATAAATTAACAGACTTGAAGGGATAGGGAGAGAGTCCATGCTTGTGTCTATTAGTCAGAAGTTAAGGTGGCCTAGAACCCTTGACCCAAGCCATCGTATTTTCAGTTGCCTCACAGGCATGTGAAAGTTGGACACTGAACAAGGGAGACAGAAGAAAAATCTTTGCATTTGAACTATGGTGTTGGTGAAGAATCTTGAAAGTACCGAGGACTGCCAAAAGATGAAACAAATCTGTCTTAGAAGAAACACAGCCAGAATGCTCTTTCGTGTACTGCGGACATGTTCCAGGGAGAGGCCAGTCTCTGGAGAAGGACTTGGTAAAGGAGAGGGGCAGTGAAGAAGAGAAAAGCCCTTCATGAGGTGGCTGACATGGGTGCAGCAGAGGACTCCAACGTAAGAACGATTATGAGGGTGGCGAAGGACTGGCAGGGTTTCGTTCTGAGTCTGAATCAACTTAGCCACCTAACAGCAGAGCTCCTCAGCTTGTAGTTGGTGTTTGGAATGAGGGTAGTTGTGTGCAGCTGTGATCGTTGTCAAAGGAAACCATTTTTGTGTATTCTTGTCGGCGCTGACTAGTCACTTAAATGATATTTCTGCACCAGCAGGAAAGCAAGCATAGAGCTCAAGGAGATCTATAGTCTCCGAACAGTTTTATGACCCGGCCATAGCATTTTTGTTGATTGAGGTGGCAACTCTCTTCTAGGGTACAGGAAGTCAGGAGGGGGCAGATGACAACTGAGGTCATTACAGGGTTGCCAAACCTGAGCTCCCCCAAAGTGGAAAATCGAGACTTTGTATCCTTTTCATCATTTTTTAGAGCTTTATGGAAATCTAATTGACATTCCGTAAACCATGAATTTTAGCTGTATAGTTGGAAGGGTTTTTGACACACCTGCAAACTGAAGAGCCCATTGTGATCATGAACATCTCTATACTCCCAGTTCCTGTGTCCCCAGCCCTAACATGTTGATGTACTATATTTACAGGTAAGTTGGGTGGTGTACTCATAATGACCCTCTAGGACAGAAACGAATTGCTCCCACAGAGCTGCTGGTGGTTTTAAACTGCTGACCCTGCACTTAGCAGCCCACTGCATAGCCCACTGCACTGCCAGCCTTCTGGTTGGGGGGTCAGTATGAGAAGTAACTCAATGGCAGTGAGTGGTGTGTGTGGGGTTTTTTTTGCTTGGTGGTGTAGTGGATTCCACATTTGGTTTCTAAACATGAGGCCAGCAGTTCCAAACCACCAGACGAGGCTTTCTACACCTTAGGTTTACAGTCCCTGAAACCTAACGGGGGCAGTGGAACTCTTGTTTTATAGGCTTGCTGAGTCAGAATTAATTCAGTGACAGAAATAATAAAGGTAAGTTTACATTTTCTAGAGTTTTCTACAGTTGGAATCCTAAAATATTTTGTTTTTCAGTTTCCTTCTTGTTGCATAGTTATGATTTACCAGAGATGCTTGTACTCGTAATTTGTTCTTTTTATAGCCAAATGTTCTGTGGATATACCATGATCTGTTTATACATTCATCTGTGGACATTTGGTTTATTTCCAGTTTGGAGCTCTTGCAAATAAAACTGCTTTAAACATTGTGTACATTTCTTTATGTGGAGGCATGTTTTTATTTCTCACGCAGTTACCTTGGATTGTGTTTCTATCACAAGGTAGGTGAATGTTTAAATGTATAAGAAATAGGTTTTTTGACTCCTACTTCCAGACATGGCATCTAATGCAGTACTCTTGAGAATGCATCTCCAAAATTAAGGGCCTTAGCAGAACTCCAATAACTGGATCATGTGAAATAAAGTTACTTTGAGATATCACCAAGTAGCTCAAAAACTTTAAATTTTTTTAAGGCAGATTGACTATGGTCAGAATCCCAAATAGGTGTGTCTTTTAACTTGACTGCCCTGTAGGTACCACATACTTCTTTTT